GTCCATGCGGCCGTACATGCGCATGCAGAACCTGTTCGTTCGCGAGATAGATACGTCGCTGCCCAGGGAGGCGGTTCTGGCGGAGCTGTCCAAACTCTGCAGCCCGGCGCAGGGCAAAGTGGTCGTGCCCGTGTCAGACAGCACCGGCGGCGTCCTGGGGATCGCCTACCTGAATTATAACAATGCAGCTGATGGTGAGCGGCAGGTGCCTGCGCCTGCGCGCCGCCGGCGGCCGGGCAGCTGCTGCCCAGGTGTCTGTTCAGGGCCGGTTTTTTAGAACCCCGCTCCACGCACATGGAGGCGGCATTACGTGCGTCACTGCCCCGCCGCCACGTGCGGCACGCCTAGCTGCGGCGGGTGCGCGTGGCAACAGCTATGATGACAACGGCTGCGCCGCAGCGGGCCCTCTATTCAGTCATCCCAAGCGCCCCTCCCTGTCCTGCCGCCATCGCTGCCTTGCCCACACCGGCCCCCCAACCCTGCCCTGGACGCCGCCGCAGCCGCGCGCGTCATCGATCGCATGCGGTTCACGATGACGGTGGGCGGGTCGCCCGTGCGGGTGACGCACGCGGTGGAGCCGCGGTGGCGCGACCACCTTTTCGGGCCCATGGGGCTGCGATTTCAGGTCTTGGTCAAGGTGGGGGGCTGTCTGAGTCTGCAATCCCATGGAAACGCTCATCGGGCTGTATATTGAGATGCGGGGTTCCAAGGTTGAAGTGTCAGTTGGGCTGCTTGTATGCAGGCTGCTGTTTGGGCCATACAGTTTGCTACTGAACGACATGCCTACGCGGCATGGGCAGCTGCATGCAAGACATTGTACAAACCGTGCATCAGACAACCAGCCGGGCGCGTGCGCTGCACTGCAACTTCAGGGGACAGCGCCCTCCCCCGCCTGCAGCGCCAGCCCTGCTCGGCGCAGCGAATATTTGGGGGCCGAATTTGACGCGCGCCGAATTCGCCGCTTCACACTGGCCTGCTGCAGCAAGCGATCCACTTGCACCGCAACGCATCTGGGACCCTCTTTGTAGAACCTGAGCCCAGAGGTAGACGAGGCGGCGCTTTTCGAGCGCTTCTCGCGTCACGGGGAGATCTACCAAGTGCGGGTTGACCAGGATGACTACGGGCGCATCGGCGGCATGGTGCGCGGCCGGACGGCGCGCGGATGGGGTGGTTCGATCCCAGCAGCGGTCCGGATGCATGCGGCTGGGCAGAGGCTGAGGGGCATACGAGGGGGCCGAGAGATGCTCAGCAGGCCGTGAATCAAGTTTTGCGTCAACCTAACTGTGGAGCTTGGTGGTTGGCTATCTGATGTCTGTCAAGCCCGCGGCCGCACCGCCTGCCTGCACGTCCTATCACACCCCCAGCTGAGCGCCAACGACCACATGCGGCACCAAGCCGACCCCAGTTTGATTACCCCCAACCGACCCAACAGACCCACAATTGACCCCTCACTCGGATCCCAGAAGACCCCAACCAAAAACAAATGAACCCCAACCGACACCCCAATCGAGTCCAACCGACCCGCACCGTCCCCAACCGGCCCCAACCGGCCCCAACCGGCCCCAACCGACCCAGGTTCACTACATGGAGGAGTCCAGTGTACTCAAGGCCCTGCACGCGGAGAATGGGCAGCTGTTCAGCAACACGCGCATTGTGGTGGAGCCGCACATCCGCTCACATGGCAGCGGCGGCGGCACAGCGCAGTGAGTGATACGCGCAGAAACTCAAGCAAGTGTGTGCGACCTGAGTTTCTGTGTGTGTGTGTGTGTGCGTGTATGTGTGCGTGCGTGTGTGCGTGCGTGTGCGTGCGTGTGTGTGTGTGTTTGTGTGTGTGTGTGTGTGTGTGTTTGTGTGTGTGTGTGTGAGTGAGCGCGCGCGCGTTCGCAAGCACGTGTGTATTGGGGCCGTTGCGGGCGTTTGTTGATTCCCTTTTGCAAGAGGAAGAGGATGATTGCTAGCATCAGGTGTGTGGTGGATGCTGCAGCAGCCGGACCCACGCCGCCGCCCCCGTTGACTCCCTTTTGCCCACAGGCCCCCTCCCCCGGCAAGCTCGCACTCGGATTTCCCTTCCCTGCCCGGCAGCCGCCCGCCCCCACCCGCGGCCGCGCCCTCAGCAGCGGCGGCGCAGGCGGGGCCGCGCGCGGCGTCCTCTGCAGCGGCCCCCAGC